TCAGAGCTGCAGAAGATATGGCAGCAGAAAACACCCAACCAGAACAGCAAAAAGAAAAAAGAATCCAAAAAATTGAGGGGATTTTAAGGGTCCTCCAGGACAATATCAAGCATACCAACGTTTGCATTATAGGGATACCAGGAAGAGAAGAGAGAGAGAGCAAGGAATTGAAAACCTACTTGAAGGAATAATAACAGAAAACTTCCCTAACCTCGTGAAGGAAATAGACATGCAAGCCCAGGAAGCACAGAGAGTCCAAACAAGATAAGCCCAAAGAGGCCAACACCAAGACACATCATAATTAAAATGCCAAAGGTTAAAGACAAAGAAAAAATATCTTAAAAGCAGCAAGAGAAAAGCAGTTAGTTACCTACAAAGGTGCTTCCATAAGAATGAGCTGATTTCTCAACAGAAGCTTTTCAGGCAAGAAGGGAGTGACAGGAAATATTCAAAGTGATGAAAAGCAAGGATATACAGCCAAGATTGCTCTACCAGCAAGGCTGTCATTTAGAATTGAAAGACAGGCAAGGAACTTCCCAGACAAGAAAAAGCTGGAGTTCATCACCACCAAATCAGTATTACAAGGAATCTTAGAGGGGTTTCTTTAAGATGGGAGGGGGGTACAGGATGGGTGAAAGGGAAAGGGATTAAGAAGTACAATTTGTTGTTACACAGTAGTCATGGGATGTAGGGTATAGCATAAAAAATATAGTCAATAATATTGTAATAACTAGGTATGATGCCAGATAGGTACTAGATCTATCAGGGTGAAAGATGAGAATGGGGTTGGGGTCAGGGTGAAAAAGGTGAAGGCATTAAGAGATATAAATTGGTAGATATTACAGTATGGGGAATATAGTCAACGGTGTTTTAAAGATCATGTAATGTGCCAGATGGGCACTGGGTTTATCAGGGGGATCACGTCATAGACTAGATGCCTGACCAATGTGCTATACACCTAAAGCTGAAGTAGAATTATATATATATATATATATATATATATATATATATGTGTGTGTGTGTGTGTGTGTGTATATATATATATATATATATATATATATATATATATATATATATAATTGGGGGAGGGGAACAGTGTTGGGGAATTAGGGAAGGGAACCAGCCAAGTTGTTGTTCTTCAATCTTAGTTGTGGAGGGTGCCAGTCGCCATCTGGCTTCCCATTGGCAGCTCGTGGCCTCTAAGCTCTAGGTTCTGTGTTCAATCTTAGTTGCAGGTGGACGTAGCCACCATGCCAGGCGGGAGTCAAACCAGCAACCTTGTTGTTAAGAGTGCACACTCTATCCACTGAGCCATCCGGGTGGCAGCTCAGCTCAAGGTGCTGAGTTCAGTCTTAGCTGAGGGCGGGTGTAGCCACCATCGAACAGGCAATCTTGTTGTTACACCAGCTGAGCCATCCTGCCACCTGTTGGCAACTCAGCAACAGCTCAGCTTGGGCACAGCGTCACTGGCCCGTGTGGGAATCAAACCGGTGTCCCTGTTGCTCAGAGCTCCTGCTCTTAAGCTAACTCTTAACCAACCAAGCCACTCGGCCAGCCCTGAAGTAAAATAATATTCAATGTCAACTATAACTAAATATATAGGTACATATAATCATGGGATGTGGAGTATAACGTAGGGAAGATAGTCAATGGTATTGTAACAGCTATATAAGGTGTCAGAGGGGTAGTAGCTTGGGGGGTGGGTTATCACTTTATGAGGGGTTTAAATGTCTAACTATTACATTGCTTTGTACACCTGAAACTAATAAAAATAAATAAATTAAAAATAAATAAACCAAAATATAATGGTAACAAACAAACAAACAAACAAACAAACAAACAAACAAAAACCACCTCACGTTCCATTTTTTTCCTAATTGGGCACTAATCTAAGAAAAACAATTTCTGACCAGGGATTAATTCTTTTCTATTGACTTTGCAGATGAGGAAATACAAGACCAGAAAAAAAATAGTGACTTATCCAAGTTTCCGTTGCTTGTTTGTGGTAAAAATCTCAGTCCCAAATCTTTTGGTTGATTATTCTATGACCTTTCAAATATGCTATTCCAGCTATCCTTTAAAATAAAGTTTTTATTCGTTAGAAAATAAGATTTTTCCTAGAAACATTCAAGGAATGTTAGGACGTGCTGATATTTCACCATAGACGAAGCATAATAAAGACCTAGAGTGGGGGCCCCAGGCCTGAGGGAAGTCTACACTAAAGACTCATACATATTTGATTTCTTGGACTATGACAGTAAAATCCCTGGTAACACTTGAACTGGATGTAAGAATGTCCTGAGAAATTTCAATGAAAAGAAAAAATCCGATTGTTTTTTCATATGACAAATGGGAAAAGTACGTTTTGTGTCATCTCCTTGTGAAATATCAGAATAAAATTGCCTAAAGGGGTTTGTCAGATAGTCATGAATGTAAATTTAGTTTTTCTTTTACCTGTTTCTTAATCTAAATAATTTGTTTTCTGTTTTTTAGGTGCTAACAAAAAATGCATCATGGCTTCAGCGCTTGCTGTAGTTTTTATTATAGCTCTTATTGTGTGTGGTATTATGCATATAATAGGTGAGTAAATTACACCCTTTATTTCTTCCCTTATTTTTTTTCTTTTTCAGAGTTTCCTATTCTATGACCCTTTTTCTTTTTGCCTCACATGGTCTTTTCTCATTATTCTCACTTTCTTCCCATTAGTCACAATATATTTAATGGGTATCAATGAATGAATTATTATGAATTATGTGACCCATGTAAGGCACTGGGAGATGCAAAGATTACGACAAAACCATTCACCCTGACTATGGTAATCACTATTTGACTCCTGTTGCATAGGTTAGTTTTGTCCACTTAAAAATTTTTACATAAGTAGGGCCAGCCGAGTGGCATGTTGGTTAGGAGCTGGCTTGGGACGCCAACTCTGAGCAGCAGGGTCCCAATTTGGATCACATATAAGGGCCAGTGACACTGCCCTGTACAGCTAAGATGGTGAACAACAGCTCGACCTAGAGCTGGGTTGCTGTGAGTCGCTGGCAATGGCTTAGGCTAAGATGGGGCTGCCTGGCAGTTAGCGTGAGATTTGTGAGCTGCCATGAGCCGCCGTTGCCGGTGAGCAACTGCCTCACCCGGGAAGAGCGCAATGATAATATCAAAAACATGGGCCAGTGAAGCCACAACCTCCACAGCTAGACTGAAGAAGAAAAGGACAGCAACTTGTCTGTTTCCCTTCCCCAATTCCCCAAAGCTGTTCCCCTCCCCCAATTTCCCAATAAAATCTTTAAAAAAACAAACAAACAAAAACAATGTTTACATAAATAAAATCTTGCAAATTGCATATATCCTTTGCATCTCATTTCTTGGGTTCCACATTATGCTTGTATTAGTCTTCCATTTCATAACATGTAGCAAAAGCTTATTGACTCATTTTTATAGGAGGGAGTAAAGAAATTTTTACACAATGGACCACATAGTAAATAATTTAGGCTTTGTTAGCTACACAATTTCTGTTGCAACTACTCAACTTCCTATTAGTAGTGCAAAAATAGCTGCAGAAGATAAACAATTGAGCATGGCTGTGTTGCAACAAAATTGAACATAGAAATTTGAATAGTATATAAATTTCATGTGTCACAAAATATTTCTCTTTTAATTATTTTGACTTTTAACTTTTAATTATATCGATTATTTTAAAATTTAAAAAGAATTTTAGCTCTGAATTGGGTCTCAGATTGTAGTTTGCAGATCCTTGCTCTAGATTTCCGTGCTATATAGGTATTAATTTATTCATTGTTCTACTTTTAATGGACATTTGGATTATGCTACATTTTGACTACTGTAAATTGTGTTGCTTTGAACATTTTTATACTTTTGGTCTTTTAGTGCATAGTGAACATCATTTGGAATACTCGGATACTTATGAAAAGAGTTAAGCTGTAGCATATGCATTAGTCAGATTCAGCAGATAATACATAGATAGTAGATAATCCAAACAAAAGTGTTTGAGAATGAATTGTGATCATACTTGTCAATGCTTTATTTTCAGTTTTACCCATTTTTGTCACTCTGATGAATGTGTTGGTATCTTAATGTGGCCTTAATTGGAATTTTCCTGATGACCAATACTTTTAAGCTTCTTTTTATATTTACTGCTCATTTAGCCACAATATTTTGTGATGAATATGTTCAAATACTTTCCCACTTTTTCTTAAGTTAGTTTTTTTGAAATTCATATGCTTATTTGACATCTGTATATCTTCTTTGCTGAGGTGTCGGTTCAGGATTTTTATCTATTTTTTAAATTAGGTTGTTTGTTTTTCTATTGTTGAGTTTTAAGAGCTATTTGAATATTTTGGATAACAGCAGTTTACCAGATGCATCTTTGGCAAATATACTCTCAGTTTGTGACTTGTCTCTCGTTCTCTTGACATTGTCTTTCACAGAGTGAAGTTCATTTTGATGAAGTCCAGCTTATCAATTTTTCTTTCATGGAATGTGCCTTTGGTGTTGTATCTAAAAAGTCATCACCATACCCAAGGTTATCTAGGTTTTATCCTATGTTATCCCCTGGGAGTTTTATAGTTTTTGTGTTTTAAACTTAGGTTTTAAACTGTTTTGCGTCAATTTTTGTGAAGGATGTAAGGTCTGTGTCTAGATTCATTTTCTTGCATGTAGACCCAGTTCTTTCAGTAGCAGTTGTTGAAAAGACTTTCATTGCTCCATTGTATCACCTTTGCGTCCTTGTCAAAAATTTGACTATTTTTGTGGTAGTTTATTTCTGGGTTCTCTATCTTGTTCCATTGATCTATTTGTCTATTGTCTCACCAGAAACTACACTCTCTTGATTACTGTAGCTTTATTGTAAGTCTTGAAGTTGGATAGTGTCTGTCCCCCAACCTTGTTCTCCTTCTATATTGGGTTGGCTATTCTATGTTTGTTTCCTCTTCAACTAAACTTTAGAATCAGTTTGTTGATATCCACAAAATAACTTGCTGAGATTTTGATTGGGATTGTATTGGGTTCATAGATGAAGTTGGAAAAGAACTGACATAGTGAGAATATTGAGTATTTCTATTCATCAACATGGACTATCTCTCCATTTATTTAGTTTTTCTTTGACTTTTTTCATCAAATTTTTTGTTTTCATATACGAGTGTATGCTGTACATATTATGTTGGATTTATACGTAAGTATGCCACTTTGGGGCATTCTATAATAAATGGTATTATGTTCTTACAAATACCACTTATTCATTGCTGGTACATAGGAAACTGATTGACTTTTGTATATTAACTTGTATCCTCCAACCAAAGTTTGTTTTTTCAGTTTTTTAAGATTTTCTACAGAATGATCAAACCACCTGCAGAAAAAAAAAACAGATTATTTCTTCCTTTATAATTTGTATACCGTTTATTTCCTTTTCTTGTCTTATTACATTAGGCAGAGGCTTCAGTATGATATTTAAAAGAAGTGATAAGAAGGGACATCCCTGCCTTGTACCTGATCCTAGTGGGAAAGTCTCTAGTTTGTCACCATTAAGTATGAAATTTGCTGTAGGTTTTTTTGTAAATAGTCTTTATCAAGTTGAGGAAGTTATCTCTATTCCTAGTTCACTGAGAGTATTTTGTCATGAATGAACATTAGATTTTAGTAAAACCCTTATATTGATACGATCATGTGATTTTTCTTTTTTAACCTGTTGATGTACTGGATTTCATTGGTTTTCCAATGTTGCACCAGCCTTGCAGACCTGGAATAAATCCCACTTTTCATGGTGCATAATTCTTTTTATACACTGCTGGATTTGATTTTGTAATATTTTGATGAGAATGTTTGCATCTATGTTCATGAGAGATATTGGTCTATAGTTCTCTTATAATGTCTTTGGTTTTTGGTATTAGGATAATGCTGGCCTTATGGAATGATTTAGGAAGTATTGCCTCTGCTTATATTCTCTAAAAGAGGTTTTAGATAATTAGTATAATTTCTTCTTTAAATGTTTTGTAGAATTCACCAGTGAACCCCTCTGAGCTTGGTGCTTTCTGTTTTGGGACAGTAATGACTATTGATTCAATTTCTTTAAAAGATATAGTCCTATTCAAATTGTTTCTTCTTGAGTGAGTTTTGGAAGATTATATCTTTCAAGAAATTGGTCCATTTCGTCTAGATTATTAGATTTGTGAGCATTGAGTTACTCATAATATTCATTTTTTTATCTTTTAAATTTCCATGGGATCTGTAATAATGTCTTCTCTTTGATTTCTGATATTATTCATTTTTGTCCTCTATCTTTTTTTCTTAGCCTCGATAAAGACTTATTGATTTTATTGTTCTTTGCAAAGAACCAGCTTTTGATTTTCTCTATTAATTTCTTGCTTTCAATTTCATTAATTTTTGTTCTAATTCTTTTTTTTTTAATTGGGGAGTTGGGGGAAGGGAACCGTTTTGGGGAATTGGGGAAGGGGACCAGCCAAGTTGTTGTTCTTCAATCTTAGTTGTGGAGGGTACCAGTCGCCATCTGGCTGCCCGTCGGCAGCTTGCAACCTCTAAGCTCAAGGTGCTGTGTTACAATCTTAGTTGTGGGAGGGCGTAGCCACCATCTCATGCAGGAGTCGAACCAGCAGCCTTGTTGTTAAGAGTGCATGCTCTATCAACTGAGTCATCCAGGTGGCAGCTCAGCTCAAGGTGCCGAGTTCAATCTTAGTTGAAGGCGGGCATAGCCCACCATAGAACAGGCAGTCTTGTTGTTAGGAACACGTGCTCTCACCAGCTGAGCCATCCTGCCACCTGTTGGCACTCAGCAGCAGCTCAGCTCGGGCACAACATCACTGGCCTATGTGGGAATAGAACCCGCTCAGAGCTCGTGATCTTAAGGTAACTCTTAAACAACTGAGCCACTCGGCCAGCCCCAGTTCTAATTCTTATTATTTCTTTTTTTCTGTTTACTTTGGATTTGACTTCTCTTCTGTTACTATCAATAGTTTCCTAAGATGGAAATAGATTACTGATTTTCTACCTTTCTTCTTTTCTAATGTATATATTTAATGCTATATATGTTCCTCTGAGAACTAATTTTTCTGCACACCATAAACTTTGATAAATTGTGCTTTCATTTTCATTTAGTTCAAATTGTTTTTAATTTTCCTTGAGATTTTTTCTTTGATCCATGTGTTATTTGAAAGTATTTTGTTTCATCTCCATGTACAGTATTTTGGAATTTTTCAGTTATCTTTCTGTTATTGATTTCTAGTTTACTTCCATTGTGATCCAAAAGCATACAACTTATTATGATTTTTTAAATTTGTTAAGGTGTATTTTATATTAACTATTAATTTTAATAAATTGTCTTTATTTTTATTTAAATGTTTATGTCAGCATTCAGATAATCTGTAAATAACAATAATTTTATTTATTTTTTTGAAATTTTTATACTATTTTACATATTTTTATTGCCTTATTTTACTGGCTAGAATTTCCAGCACAAGACTGAGAAGTAGTGAGAACTTGCATTCTTATTTTATTCTTTTTATTTTTTTTTTTAAGTTGGGGAATTGGGGGAGAGGAACAGCTCTGGGGAATTGGGGAAGGGGAACAGACAAATTGCTGTCCTTTTGTTCTTCAGTCTAGTTGTGGAGGATGTCGCTTCACTGGCCCATGTTGGTATTATCATTGTGCTCTTCCCGGGTGAGGCAGATCGGTCGCTGGCCTCTGGACGGCCGCTCACAGCGGCTCTTGGCAGCTCACACCAGCCACCAGCCGCTCACGCTGGCTGCCAGCCACACATGATATCTTATGGCAGCCCACTGCAGCAGGGGCTGCAGCTACGCCATCGCTGGCGACTCACAGCAGCCCACCTCCAGGTTGAGCTGTTGTTCACCATCTTAGCTGTAGAGGGCGTAGCATCACTGACCCTAATGTGGGATCCGAACCGGGGCCCTGACACTCAGAACTGGCGTCCCAAGCCAGCTCTTAGCCACGTGCCACTCGGCCGGCCCCCTTTATCTTATTCTTAATATCTATAAGAAAGTTTTTAATATTTCTCCATTATGGATGATTATTTGCGGATATTCCTAATCAAATTAAGGGAACTCCCTTTGATTCCTAGATGGCTAAAGTGTTTTATTTTGAAATGATTTAGAATACTATTAAATGCTATTGAGATACTTAATCTGTTTCTTTTCTCTGTTAATGTGTTGAATTATACATTAAAATGTTAAACTAAATTTTCATGTCTAGAAAAAACTCAATTTGATTATAAAGTATTAACCTTTTAACACTCTTGAATTAAACTGGCTAATATTTTAAGGTATATGCACATATGTTTATAAAAGACTGAACTATAATTTCCCTTTCTTATAATAATATTATGAGGTGTTGCTATCAAGATTACCATGGCCTCAATATTTGAGCTGGAAAGTATTTCCTCCTATTATTATATATTTTCTGAAAGAGGCTGTGTAATATTGTTATGTCATTCCTAAATAATTAGATGTAGTCACAACTGAAGCCATCTGGAATGGAAGATTTCTTTGATGGAATTTTTAATTTAAAGATTTAATTTCTTTACTAAATAGAATATTATTATTCACATTTATTATTTACTTTTCCTTTGTCAGTTGTGATAAGTTGTGTATTTCAAAAATTTATCTTTTTTTTCATTTTTGGTATTGTTAATTTGTTTATCTCCCTCTTTTAAATATTTTATCGGTTTTCCTAGTGTTCTATCTTTAGGTTATTCCAAAAGTCAATTTATGAGTTTCTTGACCTTTTTCTACTTTCTATTAATTTTCTAGTCAATTGATTTCAGGTCTTTTTTTTTTATTGTGTCTTTCTACTTTGGTTTTAATTCACCACTCTTACTTTTTTAGATAGATAATTACCTTTTTCAAAAGTTTTTCTTCCCCTTTTGGCCGCTTCAACTTCTTTTGGACAGCTCCTTCCTTTTTGATCCCTTCTTCCCTTTTTTTGAGCCTTGCCTTTGCACATGGCCCACGCCAAATTCTTTGGAATGTAATTTCTCTTCTAAAAATGGACCCTTGAGCCATTCTCTACTGCTCAGGCCTACTTCTACTTCTTTGAAATGTACTGTCTTTTCTAATAAACTGCTTTTTCATGACTTTAAAAAACAAAAGTTTTTCTTCCTTTTTGAAACATAAATTTAAGCCAATACATTTTCCTCTTACCTTTAAGAAAATGTGTTACCTTCTATAAGTTTATATATATATATCACATATACCATATATATGTAACTATCTTTCAGTTCAAAATGTTTTACACTTCCCATGTTTCTTCTTTGATTCATGAGTTATTTGTCATTGAGTTAATTTACAAACTTTGGTGATAATCTAATTTTATTTTTGTTACTGATATATGGCTCAATTACACCGCAGTTGGTATGCGATAAATGTCTTCAATTTAAAAGAATTTCTTATTACCACTTTATTGTCCTGCATTTTGGTAAATGTTTCATGTGCACTTTAAAGAATGTACATTCTGTAGTTGTTACATGTAACTCTCTATGTATGTCAACTGGCTTAGTTTTGTTAGCATGGAGTTCAGATATCATCTTTACACTTTTTGCTCATTTTAATGACAATGATTAAGAGAAGGCTGTAATAGGTACTTGGCAACAGGTGACTATAAATGATAATTTAACCAATTGTTTTACCTCTGTGCACTCTAAGTCACCAGTATTCCATTTACAACTGGTGATTAGATTAATGTCTTTAAAGCAAACTGCATTAGAAAACCAAAACCATATCTCATCCTTAAGGTTCTATTTCTTTAGAGCCACTTTTTGTACCAAAAACTGATTTAGTCTGTGTGTGTTCAGAAAAGTAGACACAACAAATTTTCAAGAATAGGACTTTAATGTAGGAATTAGTGATAACACGATTGTGAGAGGAGCTGTCGAGTAATAATGGTCTGGAAGCCTGTATAGCTGGAGGTCAAATGGTCACTAATAATTTTGGCTTAAAGCACTAATGTGTCTGGAGAACCCAGAGATTAGAGGAAAGTCTAATAAGCTAATACATCTAGCTGCCATGATTACAAAAGGGAAACTTTTGAAAAGGCCTATGAACTGCCTATGCCCCAGTCCTCCAAGAATAATAGCTTCTGCTTTGCTTCCACCTTCCAAATTCATGTAGGTTCTTTTCATTGGTTAACCCAAACCCGTACAGTGATGGTAGTACCTAGTTGACAACAGGCAATCCAACACATATCTTGTTAGGTATATATTCTGTTTTATTATTTTCATTGCTTCTTTAGAGTTTAACACAAATTTCCTGGATATGGCTCTAGTATAAATTAGTGCTTTTATTACTTGCTTATAAGGATTTCATTATATTTCATTTACCCAGAAATAGCAAAGGTGGCAAGTGAAATCACATTGGTTGCTCTAGGAAGGCCTATGAATCACTGAGACTGGATTTGAAAGGAATATGAGTGTCCTGTCAAATCCTGAACTGCTGTCATTTAACTTAACATAAATTTTTTCAATTTGTTATGGGAAAGATATGCAACTCTAATCATGATCATAATCTTTTATATCACAATCCTATCTTTTCCCAATGATCTCAAATACAGAGGCATATTATTTCATCTGGTTCTCAAAATACATATTTTTCATTTCCAGGTGAGCCACTTCTGGTTACCCAGTATTTTTGTCCTGATGACTGGATTGGTTTCCGAAATAATTGCTATTATTTCTCTAAAGAAGAAAATGATTGGAATTCAAGTAGAAACAACTGTTCCACTCAACATGCTTACCTAACTGCTATTGACACTAAGGAAGAAATGGTAAGTAATCTAATACACATTCCTTATGAATTTTATTGAGTAGCGACATTGGAAATATTCAAATTCCATTATTATTTTTAAAACTTTTTATACATGCTTGTCTATATATACAGAATATTAAAGATGTTCATAACACACCATGAAAGATACAGTTGGAAAAACTTGGTGAGATTTTGTGTGGATTGTGTAAGACTTCCATCAAATAGTAGACTTGATAGCTATCTTTACATTTTAAGGAGTAGAAATAGAAGAGCTTGATAATATTTGGAAACCTTTTAAAAGTCAGTACTCCACAAAGAAAGAATTGCCTGAGGGAGGATGAGCGTCTCCATCCCACTACTTTTGAGGAGCCTTCCTCTGACTTCTCAGGCTGGCTTCAGTGATCTAAGGTCCCATGGCAGCCTCCCTCAGAGCACTCACTATCACTAATGCCATAGATGTGTAATTGAAAGTTTCCCCCTGGCCCAGAGTATGAGTTTTCAGTGAGCAGATACTGTGTTTTATTTGAAATTGCATGCTTTGCTATAGCATAAACACAGACACAAATTAAAAAGCTGAATGGATTTTTGTTGAATATATGTTGATCTACATGGCAAAAATTTTATGAGTAAAGAGAATCACCAAGAACTTTAATAAGAGATTACAAAGCTCTGTAGCTCTGCACTAGTGAAATCTGTTCTTTGCCCAAGTCACTTCTGTGGTAAGCATATGTTTTTATTTTTGTTTGGTCTCTTTAAAAATAAAGGATCAATGTAACTTGATTTTAATTTTTTTTGTGTGTGAATAATGTACAATTAAGAAGGAGGTAAAATGTAAAGAGTATAACACAGCAATCAACATTGTTAAAAGAGAATTATATGTTATTTCTGTGGTGAACAAAGTATATTTATGTAATCTCCCTGAAGATTGTTTCAAATAGGTGTGAACAAGGCTGGGGTAATCTATAGATCAGTGCAAGGAAACTACCATAAACTATTTTGGAAGCACCAAAAGGTATGGAAATCTGAATCAAATGTGAAGAGCCAGATATGTTAAGAGTAGACACAGAAAATCAAATATGCATGCTCAATTAAATCAGAAGAGCTTCTGTAGTCAATAGTTTCACTCCTGAATTTTGCAAGACTTCTGCAATGAACATTCTTAGAAATCTTTAAACTGTCTTTACAGTTTCTCTTGGGGAGAAAAGATGCTAAATTAGCAGCAAGATGGAAAATAATAAGTATTAATAAAACTTTTGAGGGATAAATTAATAATAAGGCAAAATATTTTCAAAATCTTCACTTAAAGGAATCTTATTGGCAAAGACTAAAAAATTTGTTAATAGCACGGAACACAAAGAACAGAAGTACACAAAAATTTTAGTTTTGAATGTAAGAGAAACCATGAAACATATCAGATAAGAATGATTGTACTGTTTGGATTAAAAAAAAAGAGACTGATCATACAATATCTTGATATAATTTGAAGATCACAGATGCCTATTATGTACTATGTAATCTGGGCAAATTTTAAGTGACAAACAGAATGAGGTAAACTTATTTGTGAAAGAATGATAAAAGTAATGTATACAAAAGTTTTAAACAACTGTTTATTTAAAATAGTTTAAAGTATCATATATATTTATTTAAATTACAAAATGTTTTCCATAATTAAAATATGAAACTTGCTTCTTAAAAAATTTTTATATTTATTTCCACATATTTAAAATGATTTTGCATTTTTAACCAGGGACTACATGGGCACCCTTTTGTTGAGGAAATAATGATTAATATTTTTCATAGGATGGACTCTAAGAAATGCACCTCCTAGTTGCCTGTCACCAACACCACAACTACTGAACCTCACCCTATAACATATATTTATGATCTCCTGCTGGTTTACAATACATTTATCCTTTCTTATACATATTTTTCCTGCCTTCAAACAAGCTCTTTCGTAAGACAAGACTATGAATGTCCTTTTCTCCCTTACCCTCTATATCAAGGAATCTTCTCTTCCCTTCTAGGCCTACCTGTTAGAGCACATCATATTTGAAAGCCTCCCATAAAGACTAGATAGTTCTTCCTGTAAACTCAAATTTCACTGTGTATTTATTACACTCATTATTATCTCCTTATCTACTAAAATATTTTCTAACTATGTTTACATAATTTTTTCTCATTAACTGAAATTCTTTGAATCCAGGGATGATGTCTTTTAATCTGGTCCTTTGTAATGCCCAAATCTTAGCCCAATGCACTGAATTTTTTCCAAATAAATTCATAAAATGCTGCAGAAGATGGCATATTAAAATGCCCAAGGTTTTTGGTGTCACTGTTATTAGATAGGAGTGGACCATAGTGCTGTGATCTGTCATGATTTCCTTATATTTATCATAACATTGAAACATGGAGTGATATAATATAAAGTTTATGGTTTCCAAGGTATTTAGTAGCACAGTAGACTCTATGACTTTCCATACATAATATAATTCTATGGTTAAAAAGGGGTCTAATGTAGCAAAAAAAATTTAAATTGAATGAATAAGAAGAATAAAAGGAGAAATATCAAGAAAGTTATATTTTTCCTTGAGTGATGCCTTTTAAAATGAAAATACTTGGTGAAAAAATGAAATTTGATAACTGGATTCTAAAGAAAATAGATAAATGAGGGGTGTGTGTGTGTGTGTGTGTGTGTGTGTATACACGTGATAATTTTGAGAGAGATGTTGAAGTAAAGTACAACATTAAACTCAATATACTAATAATTTATAGGAAGAGGAAAACATTATAATGAATACCTGGTGGTTAGGAAGGCTGTGCAAGAGCTTAATGACAAACTCTGGCTTTCCAGAAGTTTATTGTTTAAAAATCCTGGGGGAATAGACTTTCATTTTGAATATGTATCAATTTAGAATCAAAAAGTACCTTAAAGAAAATGTTTCTCACATTTTTGACTCACAAATAAGAAAACTGAGGGTCAGAGGGTAAAACACTTTTTCAAAATGCCACAGCTATCTTCTGGTGCAGGTAGGATTTGAACATTTGTCGCCTCGCTCCTCACAACCAGCAAAGCAAGAAGAACATGATAGGTTGTGATAAAAACTGACAAGTAAAATTATGAAATTTATTTTGTTTCTAAAGAATTTTCTTAAACAACACAAATGCACTTCTGATCACTGGATTGGGCTAACGATGACAAAAAATCAAACAGGACGATGGGTAAACAAAACCATGTTTAACAAATGGTAAGTTTCTTTATTTCTGGGATTATTAAAATTTAGATAGTTTAACCTTTAGAGCTTCGGCATTATCTACATTTCCTTAGAGCCCAAGATTTATGTGCGTGTTGAAAAGGTGGAATGGGGAAAGATTTTATGATGTACTGACACTAGTTCCAAGAGTCAGCCAGACAGGTTGGGAATCAAGATACAAGAGAAAAATGTCCTACTTGGTTGTTTTGAAAATAGAGACCTAATATTCATAAACACAGTCCAAAAAATTCTTTTGCCTGATTTTAACTTATCTTCTCCAATTCTATGTCTATTTTTCAAGCTTTATGCTACCTGTTTGCTGACATCTTTGACAGTTCAGAATAAATTTGCTGTTCATTTTAAACTGATTTTATTTGCATTGATAGCACAATTTATCCTGGACTTTGCATCTTCCATTTTACAATAAGAAAAATTGGATCTAAAGGCCTGAGTTCACTGCACATATGACCTCAGCATAACCACCCCAAATGATGACTGCCAGCCATTTTACCGCTTTGTTTCTATTAGAATTTCTCAATAGCAACACAACTGACATTTTGAACTGAATAATTCTTTGTTGCTGGGAAGGGCACTTTCTTGTACATCGTAGGATGGTAGTAGCATCTCTGGCCTCTACTACTAGACACTAACAATTCCTCCTCCCCCTCTCCACTTGTGACAAACAAAAATGTCTCCAGTTATTGCCAAGTGTCCCTTGCGGCAGGGAAGGGACAAAGCAAAATTGCCCCAGGTTAACAACCATTGGTTTATATGAACTGGTAGTTCTACTGATTACATGTAACTAACTTAATTTCAGTTTAACCAATATAAATTCTTGGAAGATAAACTCTTAGGGTCCAATTTGGTATAGATATCTTAACCCTAGCAAGAGAGTACTGTCAGAGCACACTTTTTTAGGACTCTGGAGAGATATTTTTTTAAATGTGTCATTGGGCAAGGGCGAAATCACAGGACTCCCTAGTACTCAGTGTTTAATCCCTCTGTTGTAGGTTTGATGTGAAAGGAAATGAAAAATGTGCTTACCTCGGTGATGATGGTGTAGCAACAGCTAGATGCTACACAGAACGAAAATGGATTTGCCGGGGGAAAAAAGGCACCAGGTCAGTGTTTCTAATGATGGGCTTATCACCATGGGTGAGATAGTCTTAGTATCTGTAACCTTTCTTTCTTTCCCTCTGTATAACTTAACTTTCAACATTTCACTGCTTTCATATTATAGCCTGATAATACATCTCGATAATTGTTAGAGTAATTTCTTTCAACTTGTAATTTTACTTTTCAAGTGAAATGGATCTTTGCTTTTCTATAGCAATTTTAGAAGAATCTTGTAATTTCACAGAATGTGTAGGTCAATGTTGGGAGTGTTGTATTTATAACATTATTTTCTTATTAATTTATAATATATATTTTGTATTGATTTTTGTCTTCTTAAATAACTTAACAATTTTTCTAAAAAGTTACTGAAAGCTATTTATTTTATGCATCCCTATACGTGTATCTAATTTTTTTGCTATTGCAGTTATGTAATTTTATTATCTTTTAAAATAATTGTTTCTATACAGATATGTGACTTTATTTTGGTTATTCTTCTGTTCAAGATCCGTTCTGAAGGCTCTTATAATTTCTAATAATTTATGGATTCTTTTAAATACTGTAAAACATAGTATCTAATAACAACAGTTTTGGTTTTTCCTGTCTTATAACTGTTACTTATTTCTGGTCAAATTAATATGGGTAGTAGACTTGGTGGAGTTATCACTTTGTGAGGGGTATAAATGTCTAACCATTATGTTGTTCTGTACACCTAAAACTAATAATAAAATTAAATTAAATTAAAATAATAATAAAATAAAATGGGTAAGACTGCCTGGACAATACTGATAGTGAATATTCGTGACTTGTTTCACATTTTAAGGGAAATGTTTCTAACATTTAATTGTTAGTAGTGTTTTATCTAGTTTTTTTTAATACAATTTTAAAGTTAAGGCAGTTCTTTGCCATTCTTGTTGGCTAATTTTTCTTTCATTTTTTTTCTGTTTTATTAGAAGAAGCAAGGAAAGATTTTCCCCTAAAGCAGTCTGACACCTTGATCTGACTTCCAGTTGCCAGAAAGATGAAGAACGAATTGCTGTTTTAAACGATCCAATTTGTGATACATTGTTCTGGCGGTGCTAGCAAACTAATACTCGCTATTATCAAGATCAGCTTATTTTCATTTCTATATTCCATCCGTCTTGGATACAAACCTGAGCTAGACTATCCCTTTATTCTTTCAAGGTTCTTCTTTAAACCAAGGAAAATATATCCTTCGGGCATCTCAGTCCAGCCCCGTCTAGTGTTACCGATTCATGCCACAAAAGCGCACAAGAGCAACGCTCACCAAATCACCCCCTATCTGTATTGCTATATCCAGCAGACTTAACTTCAGTTAAGATCTCTCATGTTCTCTCAAGCAGCATTTAACGTTCATTTCCTATTTTCTCCTTCTTTAAAGGCTGTCTTCCAAGAATTCTGCAACACCTTATTCCCCGGCTATCCCTCCTCACTCCCTGGCTTCTCTGCTCTCAGTATACATGTTTTGTTCCTGCCATAGATGTTAGCCTTCCTATTGTTTTAGGCCTGCTCTTCTTTTGTACTCCTCCCTAGGCAATCTCCTTTATATATTTGAGATCAATATCTACTCTAAAGAATCCCAAACTTAAATATTCAACAATGAAACTTCCTCTGAGTTCCAGATTTAATACCTAACTGCCTACCCCACTTCAATGTCTCAATTATATCTTAATCCAAAGATGTCTAAAATTTAATTTATAATTTACCCCGCAAATATGGCCTTCATCGCTGCATTAAAGGGAACCACCATCCAACTAGTCGCATAAAAACAGAAACCTGTTATTATCCTCAACATTGCTTTCTTTCTCATCTACCACTTCAGTTCACTTCTCTTTATCTTCAAAGCATTCATACTAGTCCACCATCTTTTGCCCAATGGTGGATGCTCTAATACCTCATATTCCTTTTCCTATACTATAGCCAGGGTAATGGCTTCAAAATTCAAAACTGACCATGTTATTCTGCTAATTGGCTTCCAATTGCTATTTAAATGCAAGTAGAAAAACTTACATGGCATATATGACAATTTGTAACATTTTCCATCCATATTTCACACCTAGCTTATATTTTCTTGATATCTAGTACTTCACATCTTGACTCACTAAACTCAAAGGATTTTTTTCACTTATTGACGCTTTATCTGGGCCCATTTGGAAGGTTTCTCCTTCCTTTTTTTTAGTTAATTCTACTCAACAGATATGATTATTTGTCACATATTTGTCACATATTTAATGAAGTATTAGCTGAATTCAGTGATCACCCTACTTTATATTCTCATAAGTATCATGCACATTTTCTTCATAGCACCAATCAAATTTCATTCAACATTCAACTAATATTTATTAAGCAGCTATTAAAAAATAAGGATAAAACAGGGATCCAAACAGGGCAAAATTCTTGCCCACATGGAGCTTAAACTCTAGATGAGGAGACAGAAAATAAAATGTAATATTTTGAAAGATACAAAGAAAGGCAAATTATTTGGAAAAAGAAACAAAGTTTTAATTTTATATTTGTTTGGTTATTTTATTGATGTTTATGAATCAGGCTGGAACATACAGGCCAGTTCAGACATTGGCAAAAATGGTTACTGGTATTCTGCTGAGTTTAATGCTACTTTAAAAAAAAAAAATCACTACAGAGCAGCATAAGATTGTGGCGATCAGGGATACAGATGTCACTTTGACAAGTAACTCTTATGACAAGGTTTGGAACAAGTTAACCTTCAAAATAGAAGATTATGACATATTGAACAAAATATGCATCCATAAAAATAAATAAATTGCAATTTTAATGATATATGAGATATTTTAAAAATGGAAGGAAACTAAAGAGACATATCTGAACGCAGAAAATGAATCTGAGCTGGATGTTTTACACTAAAGAGCATTATTTTGACACTAGCAAACCCTGAAGGGATTGCAATGTTAATTTGTTGATTTTTATAATTGTACTGTGATGAAGTAGAAGGGTTTTTTTTCTGCAGAAAATATACATATTATCCAATGATGTTTGAAATTTCATAATGAAATACATTAATTTAGCAACAAATTCTTAAGAGGCCCAGGAGAAAGGTTAATTTCTTTTTTCTGTACCCATAATCTTCTTAAAAGTTTGTGATAGTTTCTAAATTTAGATAAAATTTTTATAAAATCTAAAATAAACAACATATTTCACACTTTTTACCCGGAATTTCCAGTTTTAAAGTTTATATCATAGAAATAAAAGTACTATTATTGAAGAAGATATTTAGAAATTTGTTACAGCATAGTTTAAGTAGCAAACTCCTGGAAACAGTTAATGCTCATCAATAAAGGAGTCAAGAATGTATAAATCTACTTTATAATGCAACTCAGAATTTACAAAGTTTTCATAGGATATTGTTAATAATTTTAAAAAGCAAAATACAGAAAAGCAGACGTAATTTTTTCCACCATTTTTTATTATTTCTTTCAGGTGCACAAAACAACATAGTGATTAGACATTTACATACCTCACAAAGTGGTAACTCCAATAACTCTACTACTCCAATAACTCCACTACCCAATGTTCATTGGTATGTAATACCATGCATAGCTATTACAATACTATTGACTATATTCCCTATGCTGTACTTTATATTCTGTGACTATATTTTTTTTAAATTATAGTTGACACTGATTATTTTATATTAGTTTCAGGTGTATAGTGTAGTGGTTAGGTATTTATATAATTTATGAGGTGATCCCCTCAATAAATATAGTACCCATCTGACACTATACATATTTTTTATAATATTGACTATATTCCCCATAATGTATTTCACATCCCATGACCATTTTGTAACTATCAGTTTGTACTACTTAATCCTTTCATCTTTATCCCCATCCCCCCAAACTCCCTCCCATCTAGCTACTGTTTTTTTCTCTGTAACTATCAGTCTATTTCTGTTTTGTTTGTTTATTTATTCCGTTCTCTAGATTTCACATATAAGTTTTTCTCCGGCAAAAGCAGGTAGGATTTGGGCCAGCTGAGTGGCACAATGGTTAAGAGCTGGATTGGGACGCCAGAGAGCCCCGGTTCAGATCCCACATATGAGGGCCAATAACACTGCCCTCCACAGCTAAGATGCTGAACAACAGCTCAACCTGGAGCTGGGCTGCCGTGAGTCGCCGGTGACAGTGTAGGCTGCTACAGTGAGTTGCCATGGTCTACCGTGTGTAGCCAGCAGCCAGCATGAGCGGCCAGCAGCCGCTGTGAACAGCCATCCAGAAGCCGGTGACTGATCTGCCTCGCCCGGGGAAGAGCGCAATGATGGTGCCAACTTGGGCCTGTGAAGCAACATCCTCCACAACTAGACTGAAGAACAAAAACAACAGAAACTTGTCTGTTCTCCTTCCCCAATTCCCCAGCGCTGTTCCTCTCCCCAAATTCCCCAATTAAAAAATATATATATATATAAAATAATGTTTAAAAAAAAAAGCAGGCAGGATTTAATAATACTTATTATAAATAAAAAAATGAATAAAAATCCTGAAAATAAATTCATGGGCTTACACTAGATTATATTATCACATAAAAAATCAAAAAGGTATATTTTATTTTATTTTTTATTTTTTTATTTTTTGAAAGATTTTTATTGGGGAATTGGGGAAGGGAACAGTGTTGGGGAATTGGGGAAGGGAACATTGTGTTTTTCCAGGACCCATCAGCTCCAAGTCAAGTTGTTGTCCTTCAATCCTAGTTGTGGAGGGCACAAGCTCAGCTCTAAGTCCAGTTGCTGATTTCAATCTAGTTGGGGGGCGGGCGGGTGTAGTCCACCATCCCATGCGGTGGGTCGAACCAGTAACCTTGTTGCACTGAGCCATCTGGCCACCTGTCAGCAGCTTGCGGCTGTTTAGCTCAAGGTGCCTTCTTCAACCTTAGTTGTGGGGGGGGCGCAGCCTACTATCCCACATGGGTGTCAAACCGACAACCTTGCTGCTAAAAGCACGCGTTCTCACCAGCCCAGCAACAACTCAGCTAGGGCGCAGCTCACCGGCCCATGTGGGAATCAAACTGGTGACCCTGTTGCTCAGAGCTTGCACTCTTAATCAACTGAGCCACTCGGCCAGCCAAAAAGGTATACTTTAAATTGTTAACGTGGTTACTCTGAAGCTAGGACCAATGTAGATGATAGAGGGAAAATGGAGAAGATATTTTGGTGTTTACTTGCAGTTTTAAATTCTTATTCCTGAAGATTAATATTAGAGCTTAACAGGCAAAAACCTTTATCATTGATTATTCCACTATCAATTTTTTTTTAATTCTAATATTGACAAATCCATTTGAAAACACTGCTGCAAGCTTCAGAGTAAATTTTCTTTTCCTTGATGGCACCACAGCTGTTTTCTGTAGTTGGTCCTTTTATGAAGAATCTGCGGAAAAGAGGATAAACACATTGTTAATCATTGTTGCTTAAGACATCCATTTGTATTTGCAGCTAACACCCTCACTTATTAAAAGATAATTCAAAATTTCGAGGCATTTTCTTTTTTTTTAAAGATTTTTTTGGTGAATTGGGAGAGGGGAACAGCATTGGGGAATCGAGGAAGGGGAACAGACCGGTTGCTGTCCTTTTGTTCTTCAGTCTAGTGTGGAGGACATCGTTTCACTGGCTCATGTTGGTATTATCATTGTGCTCTTCCTGGGTAAGACAGCTGCTCACCGGCCATTGGACAGCCGCTCACAGCGGCTCATGGCAGCTTACGAAAGCTCACGCCCACTGCCAGCCAGCCCATGGCAGCCTACGCTGTTGCCAGCAACTCACGGCAGCCCAGCTCCATGTCGAGCTGTTGTTCACCATCTTAGCTGTAGAGGGTGCAGTGTCACTGGCCCTCATGTGGGATCCGAACTGGGGCCCTGCTGCTCAGAGCTGGTGTCCCAAGCCAACTCCTAACCAACACGCCACTCGGACTGCCCTCAAGGCATTTTTAAATACCTTGACTCACTAAATATTAAAGTACCTCTATAACTTAGTATTACTGTCTGTGATTGGCAGAGAGTTCTCACAGTGTCTGTGTGCAAATGACAGAGCAAGGAATAAATGTGTGCTCATATTCCTGTTCTAGTATCCTTTGCATTGTTCCATGTAGTCCCTTATATTAAAAAATAAGATTAAGTCACATGGACAGCTCATTTAACATTTCTTGGCTTCTCATATCAAATTGTACAATGATGATAATAATATTTACCTAATGATATTATGAAGTTAAATGAATTGATGTTTGTAAAGAATTCAGTATACAAACTGACCCATGTAAGCCCTAAATAGTCTGTTTATTGTATTTTTTATCCATAAAGCAATATGATAAATACAATAATAAAATCATCTACCAAATACTGTAGTATTAGTGATTTGTTCTGTTAGGAATTTATTTAAACTGAGGAAAAAGTTTAAGAAAGAATCATCGACAAGATGCACATGATCATCAAAACCTCCAAATTAATAAAGGGCAAATAAGTACTATATTATCACACTGGAAACCACACTGTGTCCAAGTTTTTATTTGAATTTTATATTGAACATATTTTGCACAAAAATCCCTAGGCATGGTCTAAATTTAAAACTCAATCTTATAGTTGGTGTTGAGTGGATTTGGCATGAGGAAAAAAGCCTAAATTAGCACCTTCATAAGTAGTCTGTCAGGTAATGTTCACTGTTACAACTCTACCCTTAGATGACACACATCCTCAATTTTACTTTCCATTGCAAATAAGGGCTTCAGTTGACTTCCTTACATTGATTAATTTAGTGCAGTGACATAGAAAATAAATAATATTTAATGATGAGATAAGGGTGAAGGGAAAATAAAACAACAGTATCATTAATTGGTTACTCTAGTGTATTAGTTCCTTACCACTGCTGTAATGAAGTACCACAAACTTACTGGCTTAACACAACACAAATTTGTTATCTTACAGTTCAAAACTGGTTTTATGGGAGTAAAATCAAGTGTCTGCAGAGCTGTCTTCTGCAGGCACTATGGGAAAAAACCTATTCATTGCCTTTCGCAGCTTCTAGAGGCTGTCCACTCCTTGGGCCATGGTTATATCAATTGGACCCCTGTCTATCTTTACAACCCCTTCGTGGACACTGGCTCTACTTTCTTCCTTTTGTAAGGATTAGTAATTACACTGGGCCCACTTGGGTAACCTAGCATAATGTTACTATCTCAAGTTTATTAATTTAATCACACCCTTGAAGTCTTTTATTGCCATGCAAATTCACAGGATTTGGGGATTAAGATATGGACATCTTTGGGACCATTCTTCTGCCTACCAACATACTAATTTTACTATTTGTATTTCTAATTAAGTATTTTATTATAAAATTAATATAAGCACACAAAAATGTTGATGAAAGTTTTTAAATCTTCAATCATCTCATGCAATTGATGAGAGAATTTTGGATTATTTTGTTCTGTCTTACATTTCTCATTTGCCTTTTACTGTTACGATAATCAAACAATACAAAAAAATTGCATTTTTTTCAGTTACTAAAAGTGGCTAAAGTAAACATTGAGAACTTTGACAACAGAGAAGTACATTGGTTCAGTCCACCTTTCCATTTAAATTATGAGTAGTTTTTAAATAATAAATGTACAACCATTCTTTTCCTTTGAAAACCAAACCAAAATATCTATCATTACTCCAGTGAACATTAAATTATTTTCCATCCTTTCAAATTCTTCAGTATCAAGAACTATGTCAGAGTGGATTTTGGTGGACTTAGAGATGCTTTATGAAGATAAGTTTCACAATAAACAATAAATCAAATTATCTTTTTGGAAAGACTCACATCTGTGAATCTAATGGAGAACCATCCACCCAGGTCCATGTGCTCTTCTGCGAGGTAAAGTTAAGCCCAATCCACACGTAGTTTGATCGTTTTAGATTTTTCTGTATAAAAGTCTAAAAAGTGGGTAATAAAGAAACATAATATTTTAATAATTCAAACATACTAAGACCAAAATTTTGTTGGACTCTGCACTCTGCATGAGGATTCTTATGCTAATTACCGGTAATTCATATCTAATTTTCACACACATTATATAAATGTTATATATTATATACATACACAGACACTACTTGCAAATTCAATACAAATATTCAGACCAGGATTAGCATGAGTCAAGTGAGTCAGTGGCTTCGAGCACAAATTTAAGAGGGCGCCAAAAACTCAGTAATCAAGATGAATGATAATTTAATGAAAGGGTGGGAAAAAATTTGAGGAAAGCTATTTTTAACCATTGTAATGAGGCTAATGCCATAACTATGATACTAAATCACTTGCCATTTCAAGTTGGTCCTGAATGATTAGTAGGTGAGATTTTCTTTCCAAACAATACCCATAACTGTCACTCCAACTTTTCAACTCATTAGAGAACCAATAACACTTTTCTTGATATTTGAGCCATTCTGATGGGCACAATCCTATAGGTAAATGGGGAAAACAAAGAAAAATTAAATTATATATGTATCTCTGAAAATCGACAGTGAGAATATTTATGTGTTATATGAATAAGAGTGGAGCTATGATAAAATAACTCATCACAAAGTGTTCAGACTCACAAGGTGTCCAAAATACAAGTAATAATTCCTAGGACTTAAGAAAATTAATTTAGTAAGATAAAGCTAAACCTAGTTATAAGGAATCTTTTTCCTGCATGATCTAATTACTAAATATAATTGCTAAATATAATAACTAAATTACCATATAGTTACTAAATATATAATTACTAGTATAACATGAACCCATTAAAATATATATTGCGTTAATGTTATTTGAGAGATTAGAGAAAATAGTATCTAGACCATTTGCTTAGAATTTATCCATATAAAGTATTAGAATATCTATCTTTGTTTTGTATGTAAATCTATTTTAATATCTTCCTTTTCATATTAAATAATAGTGATATTAATTTTTTAAACCTCTCTATAATTGCAAGTTCATCAAGTCTCTTGATTTTTCTTCAGTTAAAATTAAATTGAGGTATTCTCAAATTTAAAATATCTGAGACTTTTGGCATAATAACGAGAGAAAGTGAAGTATGTATAAAAATATATGTGCAAGCCAATATAACTATTCAAACTTGTGGCTATTACAATCTCCTTTTTTTAACTGGAATAAAATTTATGTAACACAAAATTCACCATTTAATCATTTAAAAAGCAAATGCTATAGGTTTTAGCACATCCACAATGTTGTGCAAACACAACTACTACCCAATTCCAAAATATTTTCATCACCCAAAAATGAAACCTCATAAACATTAAGCAGCCTCTACCCATTCCCTCTACTCCTAGCCTTGGCAACCACTAATCTGTTTTCTGTCTCTACAGATTTGACTATGATGGACATTTCATATAAAAGGATCATATAACATGTAGCTTTTTGTGTCTGGCTTTTTCACTTAGCATAAAATTTTCAAGGTTCATCCACCACTTCGTTCCATTTTATGGCAGTATGATATTCCATTGCGTGGTGGTGTACCACATTTGTTTACCCATTTATCAACTGATGGATATTTGGGCCATTTTGGGCTAGTATGACTACTCCAGCTATAAACATTCATGTATGAATTTTTGTGTAGGCATGTTTTTCTTTTCTGGGGTGTATAACTTCTTTTGTGTGATATGATAATTCTATATTTAACTTGTTGAGGAACTGCCTGATTGTTTCCCACAGTGCCGCACCATTTTACTTTTCTATCCGCAATGTATGAGCAGTTTCTCCACATCGTCAACAACACTTGCTACTTTTGTTTGATTATAGCTATCCTAGTGGGTGCGAAATGGTTTCCCATTGTGGTTTTAATTTCCTTTTTCCTTAATAACTAATCATTTTAAGCACCTTTACATGCGCTTATGGGTCATTAGTATATATTTTGTATAATTTCTTTGAAAAAATGTATTTTTTTGTCTTTTGCCCAATTTTTAATAGAGTTCTTTAAGGGTTTTTTTAGTTTGTTTTGGAGTTATGAGTTCTTTATGTATTCTGGATACTACAGATCTATTTGATATATGATTTGCAAATATGTTTTCCTATTTGGTGTGTTGTCTTTTCAATTTCTTGATAATGTCCCTTGATGAACAAATGTTTTTACTTTTGATGATATTTATTTTATTTATTTTTTATTTTGTCACTTGTGCTTTTAATATAATATTTGAAATCATTATCTAATCAAAGGTTATGAAGATTTACATCTATTTTTTCTTGTAACAATTATATAGTTTAGTTTTTACATTTAAGTCTTTGATCCATTTTGAATTGATTTTTCTATAATGTATGAGCTAAGTGTTCAAGTTCATTTTTTGCATGCGACTATCCAGTTAACCCAACCCATTTGTTCAAAAGATTGTTCTTTCTACATTGAATGGTTTTCACACCTTTGTCTAAAATCATTTGACCATAGGTGTATGGGCATAATTCTTGATCCTCAATTCAATTTCATTGATCTATACTAAGGCCACACTGTTTTGATTACTGTAGATTATAGTAACTTTGGACACTGGAAAATGAGAATCTTTCCATTTTTTCTTCTTCTTCAAGACTGGTTTTCTTATTCAAGATCCCTTCAAATTCCATATGAATTTTAGGATCACCTCACCCATTTTTGCAAATAAAAAAACCATTAGAATTTTCACAGGGATTTCTTTGAATCTGTGGACCACATTGGTTAGTATTGCCACCTTAAACAAATTGTAGTATATACACATACATATAATGGAATATTACTCAATAATAAAAAGAAATAAAGTGCTGATATATGATACAACATGGATAAACTTCAGGACGTTATGCTAAGTATTAATAAAAGAAGCAAGACACAAAAGGTCAAATATTGAATGATTCCATCATATGAAAATCCAGAAGAAGTAAATCCATAGAGACAAAAAGCTTATTAGTGATTGCTAAGGGCTGGAGGAAGAGGGGGTGGGAAGTAATTGCTTACTGGGCGTGGGATTTCTTTTTTGGAGGGGGTGATGAAATGTTTTGGAACTAGATAGATATGGTGGTTGTACATTTGAATATCCTAACACCATTGAATTATTTGATTTTAAATATTTAACTATATATTTGTGAATATTATCTCAATTAAAAAGGAAGAAAAAAATAATAGGAAGTCACCATCTTATAATTTAATTTACAGTATTTAGGTTGACTTTAATGAATGTTTAATAGTGGTTATATGATTCCATGTTTATCTACCAAAGCTCCCTTACCCCTAAAAAGGTTCCATATAATACCCAACATAATGAGAAATTAGGTAGTCAAAGTGTAAAATAAGTGGTAAAATTATAATTTTTAATTGGTTTAGGACTTGTACATATAAAACAGATAATTAAAAAGAAAAGAGTAAACCATAATATATATGACATTTTCATATGTGATAAAAGGAACAACACAAACTAGGGGATTAGAGAAAAATCCTTTGATAAATAATTTTAAAATAAATTAATCTGCATCTTCCTCACATATCATACTATAAAATAAATGTCCAAGGCTCAAAGAGTTAAGTGTTAAAAAGTTAAACTAAAAAAAAAAAAATTGAAAGTAGAAGAGATAGTTTCCCAAAATTTTGTATGACTGGAAATTCTAAATTTAAAATCATAATGGATAATTTGTTAGATAAAATTACTTTCATCTAGTTTGTATTTCCAAAAAGGATAAGTAAGTAAAAATCAAACAAAAAAATGGTTATTTTACATGCTGCCTTATTATCATAATTGAGTTTTCATATTTAAATGTCTCAATTTGACTTTAAATTTTTTGGGGGGAGGAAAACTTATTTTTTATGTTCTGTTTTATAGATCTCTTCCTCCTGCAATAAATAAATAAATAAATAAATAAATAAATAAATAAATAAAAGAATATATGAAAAGTTCAGAGTGAAAAGCTGACTTATATAAAATCTTCATTGGGGGCCGGTCGAGTGGCACATTGGTTAAGAGCTGGCTCAGGACACCAGCTCTGAACAGCAGGGCCCCGGTTCAGATCCCACATGAGGGCCAGTGACACTGCCCTCTACAGCTAAGATGGTGAACAACAGCTCGACCTGGAGCTGGGCTGCCATGAGTTGATGGCATAGGTTGCAGCCCCTGCTGCAGTGGGCTGCCATAAGCTACCGTGTGTGGCTGGCAGCCAGCGTGAGCAGCTGTCAGCCGGTGTGGGCTGCCAAGAGCTGCCATGAGCAGCCGTCCATAGGCCGGCGACTGATCTGCCAGGAAGAGTGCAATGATCACAATGCCAACATGGGCCAGTGAAGCAACGTCCTCCACAACTAGACTGAAGAATAAAAGGACAGCAACTTGTCTGTTCCTCTTCCCTGATTCCCCAATGCTGTTCCCCTCCCCCAATTGCCTAATAAAAGTTCTTTAAAAAAAAACTTCATTGGTTAATTTAATCTATTGCATACATATTCAATAAGATTTTCAAACTTAGAAGGTCCAAAAAATTGAAACAAATATAGGTCAAATCCTTAAGAAATACCTGTAGCTCTTGAAACACAGTGGTCCACATCTTTTTTACTTATATTTCCTCGTGCCTCACTATTCATTTTCCGGTTTCCCATATCACCATGTTGGCTGACATTTGAATTATGTCCTTTTTGGCATTTTAGCAACACTCCTTGAGAAACTTGAAAACAGGATTATTTTAAGGTTGGGTAAATATTATCTGTGTGCAATGTCTCAGAGGCAAATTCTTTAGATAGATTCTGATGATTGAAACAAGAAATAACTGAAGGGATAACTGGAAATTTCTTTTTTTATTGTCATGTCTAATGAAAAATAATGTCAAATATTACACAATTCATTTATAGATTGCATATTTGTTTAGGGTCCATTCTGTGCCAGGCTTTGTCCTAAGAACTGGTGATACAGTAGTATATCAAGCAAAGTTCCTGCTCTAGGGAGCACACATCTTTTTCCATGCTTTCTTGATGTTTGACTGAAACTTATGACACTGTGTTTAGGCTATTTTACCACATGTATTTATCTAAAATCTGTATTTTCTACTAGAATATGACATTCCTCAACATGACATTCCTTTTTTTTTAACTTTGGAAATTTGTAGTAATGTTTGAGGTATAGTAGTTGCTCAGTAAATGTTTGTCGGACAAAACCAGGAGTAAATTAAATACAATCTTAGATAAAATGTATAAAATTTTTAAAGAAAAATTATGGAATTCTATTCACAAGCATCTGACAAATAAAAAATATGGTTTCCAAATACACATCTCATCTCAAACACACACACACACACACACACACACACACACACACACACACAGACACACACACACTTTCCTCCTATCAGCCTGTACGTCACCTGAGGACAAGATACTTGTTTTTACTACATATTAAATACAGTATTATGAAGTGTAACATACTGCTTTCTATATAAGGAAGAATGAATGAATATGAAGAGTCATAAGAAAAAAGTAAACATTTTTCATATATTTATTTATTAAAGAACTTTTAACTTACCCAACAGACTCAGGGAGATCAAAGTCAAAACCAGAATACCATTTACTGTTCCAGATATTCCCAACAAGATTTTATACCAGCGCAACATCACAGAAGAATCTGAGAGATTAATCATATGAATTAGTTTAGAAAAATATGTTTTCAAGAAGTGATAGAAATTGCAATAATAGAATTGTATATGATATTAGTTTTAAATTCAAAGATATTAGGCACTCAAAAGCATAAAACTTAAGTAAATAGAAAAATGCATATTTATATTATTTAATAATGATAATACTCTGATGGTCAGAAGCTATGATACAAGTTATATTAAATATTAAAGTAACTGCTAATATTTGACATAGTTAACCAGTGGGAAAAAAGGATTTTAATATATACACCTAATAATTTTCCAGACACACATGCACATAGACACACATACACAGATACTCAGGAATGTGGGCATATACACTTCCAGATATATAAGTAATGAATAAACACTTTCTAATTAATCATTTGCTTTAATATTCACAAGTCATTTCACCTATTTCATTTACTAAGGATGTAATATGAATCAAAACTAAATATGATTCCTGGAACCTGCTATTTTAATCTAAAAAAAAAGCCTTAAAACCTTTCCTAATTCATGTAATAATGGTATTTCAGCTTCTCATTAGATGGTTAACTCTTTTAGAGTGACAACTGTTTTATTTTTCATATATCAACACTGTTAGATTGAGGATAAGAGTGTGCACTCAGTGATGGTTATTAATCAACAAACTGATATCATTAGACAGAAAGCAAATAGTCTCATCCAGTGCCTCAAGTATATATGTTATGTTTCTCAACTTCATTAAGACAAATTACATTGGTAGACACTAGTTTATAGAATTGTATGAGTAATTAGTTTATACTAAATATATAACATCCATATTTTGCATAATAGTTTATGTCCTCATCAAAGGTAATTTTTGCAAGTGCATCATGATAATTGATAAGAAATCACTCCCCATAACTGTTATTTCCCTATTGTTCAGTCAATAAATTTAATTATTAATACTGACTTCATATTCCAAATTCCCTTTAAAACTGTGGAAATAGAGAAACTACATTTGAAGTTGTGAAACTCTGTCAAGCTGTATAGAACAGTATTGCAGAGAAATAATACACAGCTTTTCTCTTATCATAATATTGACAAATATAGTAAAATAAGATTTATCAGAATTCAGTTAATGAATACACTGCATTTCCCAGGTTTTTTTAATACTTTGATACATTAGTAATGAATGATAACCAATAAGTTCTAAGAACTTAATGTACATGAAAAAAAGTTATTTGTTTATTATCACAAATCAAACAAAAGATTATCAGAACACGTTAGGAACTAGCCAAGTAAACATTTAAAAAGACAGAAATATGAAATGGTATAATCCTATGGAGGGATATTTGGAAAAAACTAGCAAAATTATATAGGCATTTACATTATCATCCAGCAATCTCTCTCCTAGAAATCTGTCCTGGTGACATATTGGCAAAATATGAAAAGACATATGTGCAAGGCATTACAACACTATTTCTAATAGGAATATAATAGAAAAAGAGTACAAACATCATAAACGTCCATCAAAAGGGAAACTAGTTGAATAAAGTAGTTAAATAGGGTGAAAGGGACAGGATGAGAGCTGAATTTGTGGGCGCTGGAGATATCTGGAAGTACCTTGTCACGTAAGTTTGACTTTGAAAGTATGTAAATGTTTTACATTATTATAAAATAATTATGGGCCGGCCGAGTGGCGCGATGGTTAAGAACTGGCTTGGGACGCCAGAGGGCCCTGGTTCAGATCCCACATATGAGGGCCAGTGACACTGTCCTCCACAGCTAAGATGCTGAACAACAGCTCAACCTGGAGCTGGGCTGCCCTGAGTCGACAGCAACGACGTAGGCTGCAGCCCCTGTGGCAGTGGGTTGCCGTGGGCTGCTGTATGTAACCAGCAGCAGCTCTGAGCGGCTCTCCAGAAGCCAGCAACTGATCTGCCTCGCCCGGGAAGAGCGCAACGATGGTGCCAACTTGGGCCAGTGAAGCAACGTCCTCCACTAGACTGAAGAACAAAACGACAGTAACTTGTCTGTTCCCCTTCCCCCAATTCCCCAGCACTGTTCCCATCCTCCAATTCCCCAATAAAAATCTTTAAAAATAAATAAATAAATAAATAAATAAATAAATAAAAATAATTATAATTATATTGTATAATACATATTGTGTATAATTATAATTGCATATTTACCTATGCATAATTATAAAATAGGATAAACAAAAAATTTTAAAGTGGTCCCTAACAATAAAATGGAATAGGAAGTAAGGGACCCTAACCGGGTGTTAAGTTAGTGACTTAACTGTACAGAAAGGAATTAGTTCAAGTGATTTTAAAACAATTGGACTGTGCAAGGCCATTAGAATGAAAATATACTAAAGACAAAACAAAAATGCATAAACATTTTAATCTGTTTTAAGTAATTATATTATCAGTGAGACTATTGAGATAGGAAAATTATAGGCAGTCAGGGAAATTGCCAAGGTAGAAGGAATTAGGGGGGAAACCATAACAGAGACAGGGAAATAATTTTATTAGTGACCGATAGGTTTAAGTTACAGGGCCCGCCAGAGTGACAAACTCAGGCCTATAACACAAAGTCAGGAATCCCCAGGTAGAATGCATATCTTCAAAGTATAGGCCTGGCCCCAAAAGGCACCAGCCAGTCCTTATCCCCAGGGATACAAAAAATGGTTTAAAAACAGAAACTTTGCACTTAGCTGTGGGCACCCCAGTCGGGACCCCCTCTCATTTTGAGTGCTGTTACTTTCTGCTCTAATAAACTGTCCTCTGCTACAAACTTTACCTCTCTGGTCCGTGTCTCCATCCTTCGGTGCTGCGAGATCACGATCCCAGCACACACACACACACACACACACACACACACACACACACACACACACACCAAAATCCTGCTTCACTATTTTTATAGTGACTCTGAAACTTTTTATATAGGGCAAAAATATAATTTCTTATTATTAGTACAAAGGTATACATTAAAAAATATACATTAACAGAGGAAAATTCTGTGTATAATAACAAGGCTTAAATTGTCAATTAGATTCAAATGCAATGTTTTAGTCACCCCAAGCTTTACCAAATTTTAGCAACTTTTACTAAATATTGGCGAAGGATACATTAGTAGAGGATGAATATTAGCATATACTACTTAAATAACTAGAAATTACAAATTTATTATTTGTAGCTTACTGAGCTCCTTTTCTTCCCCAAAACACATTTTGATTTCCAAATGACATCTACAAACAAGTGTGCAAAAAGTTTGCACAGGGGAGCCACTGTATTTTGTAATCTTTCAGGTTAATAACTCTATTTTCCAAAACAAAATTTTTCACCTAGTAGGTCACATATTTTAAAGTTTTTGACAAAATGAGTTAAGAATTGGTATTAAATGCTATATTTTATTAATAATAAGGAGGTGTATGACTGACACCAAATATTCATTTTTTAATTATTAATTTGAATTGAATGTATATATTTCCTGAGAATATATTTAAGAAATTATAAGAGACCAAATATTACCTTAAAAACAAATAACTGTTAGTCCCACACTGATAAATAAGAGAGAGACACAGAAAGAGAAAGAGATATAGAGACAAGACAAAGAAAGAGAAGCACTGAAAAAATGAAAAACAGTTACAAAACAGAAAAAAGCAGAATATTGGAAATTACTACCCACATTAATATCCATGTTAATATTAACCCATATTAAATACATAACCATATTAATCCATACACTTGAAAAAAAAGTACTAAATTCCATACCTTTAGATTTAAGTTGGGATGTTTGGATTGAATTCATTTTCTCCCACTGCACATTCAATGTCATGTATCTTTCTTCGTCTTGCATTTTCAATGTGAGTGAATGTATGTGTATGTGTATGTATGTTTTTAAAGTATGATATGCAATAACAATATAATAAATCTGATGCTAATCAGAGCTTTGTCCTCGGACTATTAATTTGCCCTCAACTTGTCCACCCAGGGTACATACAAGGGTTCACAGTTTTATCTATGGTGAAAACCTCAGAGGAAATGTTTTTCTCTCATGACCTAGATAACACATCATTTCTCAACCACCCACCACATATTGAATTTAATATTATATTTGTTCTTTTAAAAATTTCTCCTGATAATCCCAGAAGTCAGAGGAATGGAAATTGTACCCTTTTTAGAGTTGCTTATTTCTAGCCTAAATATGTAAATTTTCAATTACACTCCCTAATATAATGATATTCAATTTAATATAATAGTTTGCAATTACCTAGCAGTTAAAGTATTTTCTGGTCTTAAAACAACATTGACTATAAATTAGCCAATAATATAACTATGCAATTTGAAGAAAAAATACTGGCAATTTTTGGCACTCTAAAGACATTCTAAGTATAAAATAAAAATTTGAGGAAAATTTAGGAAACAAACCATATTTTCCAAGACCTTTTCTGGTATTTGAAAAGAAAGCCCCATATTCATAAGGCAGGGTAGAAATTTTTTTTTCTTTAGCTTTAGTGAGGTCTAATTTACATACCATGAAATTCACCTATTGTATGATATGACTGGTTAAATTTTGGCAAATATACAGATGTGTGCAACCATTAGCAAACCTAGCCTAGAACTTTTCTATCTCTCTAAAATGTTTCCTTTATCCCCAACTAAAAAGAGAAATAGAACTCTGGAATCACTAACTTTATATGCTGAGATAAAGTGGTTTAAAGTTTTGGCAACTAGCTCCCAAACCTCTGGCAAGTAGCAAATCTGAAATGGAAACCCAAAGACTTCAGCCACCAGAATCCACTAGTGTTTGGCAAAAGACTGAATGAGAAGGTAGTATTTAGTGAAGGCATTCAATCAGGGGAAGGGAGGTGTTTGCAGGGAGAGCAGCACGGGAGCTTTGCACTTGATCGTTTGCTCAGATTTGTCCATCTCCCAATCACATAGTAGCACGTTCTTTCTTTATCACCTCACACAACCACCAGAGAGCACCACCCGTTCACAAGCGGAACTGAAGGTTTCAAACTTAGGGCTGAAAATAATAAACATCTGTGTTATTGATCTGTAATTCCATTGTATTAAAGTCAACTTCCCTGACATCAGTAATAAAACCAGAGGTTTTTGTTTTCAATTTTATTATATGAAAAATACATATGCCACAAATAAACAAATTTGATTGCTTTGTAAACATATTTCCTCTTAAGAATTCCAAGTAAAACTAACTTACAAAAGTTTAAGTTGAAATATTCGCAACGCCAATCTGTTTTGAAAACCCTATGTGAAAGAGCCCTTAACAGGCCTGAAGATTCTAATATTACTGGAAAATTAATTAATTTTCTTTTTTTAAGGAGTAAAAAATGGAATTAATGAATTATGTGTTAGGTGTTGTGTCAAAGTAAGTCACACTAAGATCTGTGTAAACCTTTATTAAAAAGCTACATTTCAAATATTGCAAAAACAATAACATGACTTTTTTTTCCTGAGAAGTCATTGTCCTAAAAGATGCTGAGAAAACAAAACAGAAAGTGGGTTCCCTGAAATATCTGAATGTTTTATATTGTTTTGAATTGAGATTAAAGGTGCAGTGAAATTATTATGTATATGTATATATATAAAGTTTTATATATATATATATACTTTTGTGTAATTACACACACACACACACACACACTAATTCTGACGATTAAGTTTGCGAACTCATCCTAAAAAATGTGCTACATACCTCATTACTGAATATCACTATGATCACCTTTGAAGTATTCTCCTTGGGAAGCTATGCATCGATGTCAGCATCTACTCCACCTTTCAAAGCAATTTTGGAACTCTTTTTCTGGAATGGCCATCAGAGATGTCATCGTATTATCCTTGATGTCCTGAATGTCATCAAAATATCTTCCTTTCAATATTTCCTTTATCTTCAGGTAAAGAAAGAAGTCATTGGGGGCCAGATCAGGTGAGTAGGGAGGGTGTTCCAATGCAGTTATTTTTTTACTGGCTAAAACTCCCTCACAGATGGTGCCGTGTGAGCTGGTACATTGTCATGATGCAAGAGCCATGAATTGCTGGTAAAAAGTTCAGGTCATCTAACTTTTTTACATAGCCTTTTCAGCACTCCCAAATAGTAAACTTGGTTAATTGTTTGTCCAGTTGGTATAAATTCATAATGAATAACCTCTCTGATATCAAAAAAGGTTAACAACATCGTTGCAACAAGTTTTTTAACTTAACTGTCAGACCATGTGTGTGTGTATAAATATTATATATATATATATACATACATACACACATATATACATACATACACACATATATACATACATACAAAAGAAATTCCACCAGTGAGTATGGAATTTCAATACAAGCTCATAAAACTAACATTCTACATAAGTTTTCCACTGTCAAATCAGATCACATAGGAAGCTACATATCGTAGTTACAAATATGAATAATTAAAAAAAACACCCAAGAGAGTTAATACGAGACAAAGCACAACCTTTATGTATATTTCGCAGGAGAAGACTGGTAGTGGTGGAGTCAGTGGAAGCGCTACAGGTAGTGAAGATGGTAATTTCAATATTAATGATATTATTACTGGTACTATTTATCTAGCAACCAAAAGAAGAAAGTCTATGAAAGAAAAGGAAATATCAATTGTGGCAAATTCTTCTGAAAAGTTAATTAAGGGGAAAACTGAGTACTGAATAAAGAACACAGCAATGGATCAATAACAACCTTGACAATATTAGAAAAATTATTATAAGATTTATCAAGAAGAATACAGAAGTGCCAAAATTTCTTTCCCCCTAAAGAAAGAATACTGTGGTGTCTTCAATTATCAGATATTAAATAGTAACAACAACAAGAATATTAATGTCTTCCCAAACTAAAAATCAATCACCATCTAGGTCTCAGCTCAATTTTTAATATTTGAATAGTTCGACTGGATGTGAAGACTAACATTGTCGATCGGGTGAATCTACCTAAAGCCCGTGTAAAAACGTGTTCATCCTCACAGCGCTGGAGCCATCCACACACCACTGCTCTTTACATTCCCGTCATTCTCCTATGGCATAGATATGAAAAGCTTTAAGGATGCAAACTTAAATTATGATAAATACTTGGTGGTTAACTGACCCAAGAAGAAGAATCAATGCAATACAAACTGTGTAAATAACTTCGATTGCCGTGACTAGACTCCCTACTGAGATACCACCAATATCATCTGCCCAGGAAAAAAAAAAAAAAGAGCAGGAGGTTTTTTTAGCAAGCTAGGTATCTAATGGACCATTGGCAATTAACTTTTTTGAGAGCTACAAAGTCATGGCACCTTTCAAAGCAGAGTACCAGTAAAGGGGATACATGGCACCCCAGATTATAAGGATTCTGAGTGTTATTTCTCGCAGTTGATATCTCCACATCTCTCCTGCAGTGTCTGATTCTTTCCTGGGCACTATTGTAGCTACCAGTGCAAAGCCTAGAAGAAAATTTCCTGTATATTCAGAAAAGTCCTCTCTGACCACCTTTTCTAATACTACCACCCTCCATCTACTCACTTTGTCACTCGCTATCATATGCACATATTGATGTACTCATTCATTCAACAGAAAGATTATTGAACATCTGCTATCTACCTGGCAGTGTTCTAGGCACTGGTATACAGCAGTGAGTACAACAGACATTTTTATGCTGCTTACATTCAAATAGAGAGGGATGCGTAAAAAACGAACAAAAACTATATAACAGTTCACTTGGTAAGAAAGTACCTTGTATAAAAATAAAGCAATATCCAGGCATAAGAATGGGGGTTGCTTTGCAAAGTCTTCAAGGGCAGAAGCAGAAAGATCACAATTAAAACCTTGTTACAATGGCATGCAAGAGTTAGTGTTAGGTGGAAATGCAGTGGTAGCAGCAGAGGTGGTGATTCCACATGTGTGAAAGGCGAACCCAAGGACTCACACAGATGAGTTAGATGTAGTGTTTAAGAAAAAAAGAGGAACAGAGATGATTTAGAGCTGTTTTTTTTCTGTGTTACTAAGATGAAATTACCATTAATTGAGATATTAAAAAAACTGGAGAATAACCTATTATGAAAAGGCAGAATTGAAAGTTTACTTTTGCATATTTCAAGTTCAAGATCTCTAGTTGACATTGAAGTACAGATTTTGGGTAAGGAGTTCATAGGTACGGAACGAAGGAAGGAGGTCAGGGTAAAAAAAATATGTGGATTATAAGAATATGGCTAGCATTAATGCCATGGGGCGAGATGAGATCATCTAAGAAGCTGATGTAGACAGAGCAGGTAGAAGGAAACAAAAGAGGAAAAAAGGAAGCTGCAGGGGAGGCAGAAGGAACGACCAGTAACTTAGGAGGGTTTCATGCAAGAGGAATGGAAAAAAGAAGGGGAGGGAGGCTGGGAGGGAGACACAGAAGGAGGGAAATAGGTATCTAGAGTTGTAAATACTTTTACAATGAGACATTTCAACATGATTTTGTGTTATTCCCCAGCTAGATAGATCTATTCATGATGTAGGCAGAGAAGTAGATTTAATTGCAGAGGAATAGCAAAAATTATGTTAGTCAAGTCACATAGCTGTGACAAGAGACACTAATTTCACTACCATTGTGATCCAAGGTGATTTTGCTGTTACCAAAAGAATTTTACAATTCCAGCCCACTTCGTGCTCAAATTATTTTTTGCTTCACTGAATTTTAAGGTATATTGGGTTCTATGTTTATACTCATTCATTCTCATTTTATCTCTTTTTGGATTACTTTAGTTATTTGCTAGTTTGACCTACTTTTTGTATTAGGTAGTTTTTTGTACTAACCAGAGTTACAAACTATGACATCAATTAAGTAATTCTTTTTTTTAAACCTTGAATGAAATTATAAACTTCCAGTACCCCTAATACCCTTAAAATCTTAACTTCTTGTTTCTAAGCGAAGAAGTTAAATTGATTTCCTATAA